TTTCTGAGAAGAGGATGAAACTCCTTTTTAAAAAAAATCCTAATATTTACAGTAGAAATAAGAATAACAAATGGTAAACCAAACAACAGTGGGATGTAAAAGTTCATGTCACCAATAAAAATGAACTGGCTTTGAATCCTAACTCTACATAAGAACTGTGGGTACTTAGGATCACTTAATCTTTCCCGGACTCAGTTTTCTTACCCCAAAAATAAGAGCGATTATGGGTTCAATAGAAATAATGACAACAATAATAATGGCCTGACTTTTTAAATATGTATTTATTATAAAAGTGGGCAACATAGAATCAGTGGGATATTTGATATTGTATTTGAGAAACTAATGCATCAATATCTGATTTGATAGAAGCAGTTGCAATTCTCAATAAGTTCTCAAGTTGCTCATTAGATATTTTGGTTCTAATTTTACCTTTAATGCGATTTATTCTTGAAAACAGTTGCTCACAAATGTAGGTGCCAAGTGGCCTGACTTTTATCAGTAATTGAGAGTGTAGCACCTCACTAATAGCACACTCCATCCCTTGAATAAATTAGGAAAAGACGACCTCTCCTGGTTGGAGGTGGCAAAAAGATCCTCCTCTAAACCATTCAACAAGAAAAAGCTGGCTTTGCCTCTAGGTGGCCTCAGCTCCAGGCGCAGCGCGTGCCAAGCTGAGCTGCTTCTATTCTCTTGGCATGTACCTTGGCACAGTGCACAATCTGCACAACTGTGTGTGAACCCTTTTAATCTTCCCAGCAGCGCTGTGATGTCAATGCTCTGATCCCTTTTTAAAATGAGGCAAAGAGGGCAGAGAAAAGTTAAACACTTTGCTCAAGTTCCCACAGCTCATACGTACTGATGCCAGGGTTTGTAACCAGGCCATCTGGCTCTGTAGTCTATGCTTTTATTATTTCTACACCATCTCCATATATATCTAAAGCCTAATACAATGATGGAGCATTTCATGCATAAAGGAATTGATGAATATATACAGTATGCATGTTATCTGTGCTAGAATCATTAGCCTTGATTAGTTATTGATTACTGGCTGGCACTGAGAGCTTGTTTTTTTGGGGGGGGGCGGGTTCTATTGTTCAGTATTTAGATCAGAAGTAATCTTGGAACACTGTCTACCTCAGATTTTTCAAAGCATATGTCTTTAATGATTTTTTTTAACCTAGTCTTTTTGTTTTCCAACTGAAACCAACTAGGGTCAAATTGAAAGCTTTTCTGATTACAAACAGAGTAACTTTAATCACATCTTCAGGCTGTGTTATATCATCAATAATATGTCCAACAGTGAAAGAAATAATCTCATCTCACAGCAGTACACATCCATCTACCTGCATGTGAAGCAAATATTACTAACAGAAAATAATTGTAAATAGTAAAAATTACTAGTGAGTGCATCAGCTGGATATCCACATTGGGCCCCTTTAGAAAATACTCTCTTTTCCAGCAGTATTGTAATAGATCCGTGGTCCCCCAAACCCAGTCCATGACCTGTTAGGAACCAGAGCACACAGCATCACGGCCTGAGCTCCACCTCCTGTTCCATCTCTCTCCCTGCCCCATCCATGAAAAAATTGTCTTCCATGAAACCCGTCCCTGTTGCCAAAAAGGATGGGAACTTCTGTAATATATATTGCCACCTTCATTTTTAAAAAATTTATAAAAACAAAACCATAAAGTGATGACAAAAAATTAAAGAATTATGGCTATGATAAATGGGTAGATTATTAAAAGACTAGTAATAAGATTAATTTGTTCCTTTCTTGCCTGAGAGACACTTAAAGTAATTGCATCTTTGAAAACTGCACTGTCATCACTTTATGTTTTTGATGATGTCATGGAAAAGTTCCCTAGGCTGAGATATGCTCAGCAGTTTTTCTTGTATCTCTCTTGCTATTACATTATATTAATCTATAAACTACTGGTTACCATCCATGAATTTGCAATATTCTATGGTATCTGAGTAATAAAAGGAAAGGTCCCTAAATCATTCAATCTCCTAAATAAAATGTATGCCAGTTTTCATAATGTTAAACTAGTACCTATTAAAGTGCTCTGGAGAAATATGGAGATACCATGAAATATTCCTAATGCCATTTAGCAGCATAAACAGGCTGGGGGTCACTGCTATGTACACTAAAAATATTACACAGTCTTCAAACATATCCTCTGAGATTACAGACCTGAACTTTGAACTTGTCTTCTTATTTATTCACATCTCCATAAATAAAATCTGTTTATTTTATCGCTATAGAAGAGGTCTTTACTTTCCTGTCACTTCACAGAATTAAATGACCATAGCCCTTCCAGATGCCTTGTACATCTGTACAAGTCTGAGTTGTAGTACAAGTCTGAGCTCCTAAAAGTAACTTCCCACTTAGAATCACAAACTCAATAGACACCCTTTCATTACTATGATTAGGGTTATATATTTTTAACATCTTCATGCAACAAAATAAGGACGGCCACTAACCTTTAAAAATACTTCCTTACTACTGCTGGGTGCTAATGAAGCTTACAGGTCAGGTTATGATGATGCAGTTGTTTGAGATGTTTATTTCTTACTAAAATATTTTCCCCTATTTTTCAAAAATGCTCAGGACTTTTTAAAAGGTTATATATATAGGAAAATATCTTATTGGATATTTTAAGTATTAAAATATTAAGAATCTCTATGGAGAACTATTTCGTGAGTGCCCTTTTTCTGGGGATAGGTGATTATTTGAGGATATAACATGGAAATGATATACTGCTGTACCGAAATATAAAAAAAAGAAAATATACATGTTGCAAATATGTTCCTAACAATGGCTCAAAAGCATCATTCTTCAGATGCTTGAACAGAAAGAGATTTGGCAAATGGTCCCTAGTGGCACGAAAAAATGATGCACCACTCAAAACTTATCATCAACCAGAGAGACAGAAGATCTGTTAGAAACTATCACTTCCAAAATGTCAGGCGGCAGGCTGCTCTGTTCTCAGGCCATTTGGGCTGAAATAGGTCTTTTGAAAAAATTAGTGTGTAATTTCTAAAAGTCACAAATCAATTTATAGATGGTTAAATTTCAATGTAAATGTCAAAGCCAAAGACAATTTAATTATTCATAAGAAAAACATAACTAATTGTTTTAATATCAAGTAAACATCATCATTTATGCTAAATCAAATAGATCATGTTCAGTTAATTAGAAATTTTCCAGATGTCACCTACAAGATGCCTGTAAATACTTAATAGAAAAATACAGCAAAAAGTTTAGAATAATTTATGCATAATAGAAAACAAAATAAACTTCATTGACAGTGATTTAAGGTTCTGTTTTTACTTTGGATATCCTTTTACCCACCTCTAAAATGTTAAGGCCCATCAACAAGAAGATGATACCAAAATATCATAATAATAATACCAAAAAGATATTATTTAAGTCAATGAAGTGTTTCTGTTTTTTAAAAACACATCTTACAGTCAAAGCCTGGTCTCTGCTTTCATTCACTTGCATTTCATAATTCTGAAGAACAGAAAGCAGTTGGATAAGTAATTCACGCAATCATATCAGTCTACATATTAAACTTTTTCTTTGCAGCTAAATTGGAGTGAAAAAGAATCTATAACTACAGCTTCTGTATCTTCCTGAAAAAAAAAAAGTTAGTGGAGAATGATTGATAATTACACGTTTAAGAATTATATTCTAGAGATGTAGAGCATTACAAAACGCCAAGGGGAAGATCAGTAACAATTAAGCTGAATACGCCAGTGTCTAAAGGTCTAGCTTCACAACTAATTAAGTTGCTGTCATCTGTCATCTAGTTTTACACCTAGTGACACCTGTTGTACAGATGCACAAAATGTGAGGGGAAAAGGGCTATCTGTGCTTTTGACGTTTAAAAAAAAAAAAAGCCTCTTCACTCCTAAAACATGCCCACATAACATCCAACATACAGTATAGCAAGAGTTTTTTGTTTGTCTCGCTATACAGACCAGGTTGGTCTCAAACTCCTCACCTCAAAGTGAACCCTCAAGCCCAACTCCCTGCCTCAGCCTCCTGAGTAGCTGGGAAGGGTAGTTACGTTCCACCTTCATGAAAGGCCTATTCACATTTATCCTAGGCTGTTGAGAATTTACATCCTTTTTAAGACATCGTCCCAAAAAGTGAGGGAGGATGGATGCAAAATTAATTACTCAACAATAGGACACTGAAAATTGAAAGAATAAAACAATCAGCGAAATTCCTGGGAAGCCTGCCAATTTCTATCGATTTTCTTTGCACTAACCAGCTAGATAATTGTGCACCTAGTACGCTGGAACCTGCAGTCATTACCAAATACACCTCTGCTCAATTCCAGCTGATTTCATTTCTAAGTCCCCAACTTGGAACCAAGTGTGTGCAAAGGGAAGGCGTCTACGTGCAAGGAGCAGAGCCCCCACTCCACCTCCCCACCCTGCCCTTCCCAGTAGTCCTGCGGAGAACAAAGGCTGCGCGCCCAGGCATCCCCAAGCGACCCACAGGGAATTGGTCTGATCTCAGAAATCTCCCGAGTGAACATGGTGCATGCAGAGAACTGAAGTCCAACCAGAGCAACAGGGGGTGCATTTCTGCGGGTGGACTGGCCTCTTCTGCTTCTGGGCTCCGTCTGCCTCCGCCCTGCCCCACCCCTTCTGCAGGTGCGGAGCCCTGCCCTGTGGTCAGCTGTAATAAAGAAAGTGGAAATCACACCGGGAAAACGCTGTACCGCTTATGACGAAGCAGAGGCTCGCTTCGCAGCTTCTGAAACAGTCGCTTCTACAAATGTTAAACTTTTCGGGGCGGGGGGGGTGGTTAAGGAGGAAAGAGGGGAGAACAGCCCAATCCCTTTCTCCCGCCACCTCCCGGCCCCTTTCCCTCTACTCAGGTTTCTAACCTTCCGGAGAGACCCCATCGAGGACAGGCTGCTCCGCAGCGCCCCGTGTCCCCTCGGCTGCCTCTTCCCCTCGCCTGCGGCCCCCGACTCACCGCTGACCACTCGGCGGCTGAAGGCTCCGTGGCCGCAGAGCAGCGCGACGCCCAGCAGCAGCGAGACCACGCGGCTCATCGCGGCGCGGTGGCGGCAGCAGGTGTGGCGAGGAGAGAGAGCGGTCTCCGCCCGCGGCTCAGTCCGCGGCTCTAACCCTGCAACTTCCCGGCTCCTGGCTGGGCCCTACTCCCGCCGCCCGAGCCCCACTGCCCGGCCCCCTGCGCGCATCGCCTTCGACTGGGACCTGCAGCCGGACGCACTTGCTGGGCTAGAGCACGGCGCTCCGCGGGCGCGCGTTTGGGGACAGGGCACAGAAGTTAGGCGGTCACGCTTGGGTCCCAGGGGTGAAGCGGCAGCCGGGCGGTGGCGCTTTGCTTCTCCCAGAGCCTGTAACTAGTCAGGGGCCGAGTCCCTGCGCGTTGGTCGCGGCTCTCACAGCAGCAGCAGCTGCTCTGCGCTGGAGGCACCGTCTTATATATCCTCATCCCCACGTTCCAGCCCCTCGCTAGTAATAATTTTTAACTACTTCGTCTCTCCAGTCGCGCGGAGCATCCCCGCCCCTCCCCTAAAATCCGGAGCCACTTTGAGAACCGTCCAGTCAGCAGCCCCACCTCCTCTGCCTCCGGCTCCGCGGCCCCACTTTCCATTCGCTAACAGACTCCACACTCATTTGTGTAAAATGTGACAGCTTTGCTATTAAACTCTGGCAAAAGTTGGACCCATTTGATTTTCTGAAAGATAAATGTCCACGCGGATGCCAAGTTGCGGGGCCTTTCTCTCTCTGTGCTACATTGCTTGATCATGTGTATGGCTGGATGCAGGGTGCTAGCCACTATTTAAGATGGATTGGCAGAGTGGGAGCCCAAAGCTGCTCAGTGAATTATATAATGTGGCAGGTTTTTTCCCCACCTAGGTTCTACAAATAGATTATATCCAAGCAGGTTGTTTGACGAAATTGCTGCAGGAGCAAATTGAAGGGAGTATTTGAAGGATGGTGTTCGCAACTCATTTCAATCTCAGTATTTGCAACTCCAGAGAAAACCATCAACACAATATAAATATTCTGAATTCTTGGGAATTTCCTAAGTATAAAATTTATGAATTTTTTTTGCAAACATCTCTTGGTTTATATTTTAAGTAACACTCATTTTAATACTTACTTACAAAAGCACTTTTTCATAACTTGGCTAGCTGTTTTTGTAACAGTCCAGCTAAGAAACCTTATACTCAGTTTCCTGCAGTACTGGAAGTAGTTCATGGGGGTTTAATCTATATCTCATCCGTGGTATGGGAACTCTGAAAATGCTCTCATAATGAGCTTTTGTGGAATTGGTGTTTTCCCATTATTTTGCTTTAAATGCACGAAGATTTATTCAATAAAATGATTTGCCTTTTAGGGAGGTATACATTTTTCTTATTCCTTATTGTCCTTGGTTTTCATAAACCACATGTACACTTTAAGTATATGTTGGATTGTTTTCATTTTAAAGAAAAACAAGAAGTTAATATTGCTAAAACAACTCTTGAAGAATTAGAAATTGTAGAGCTTTGGAGGGAACTTCAAGCTTATTAAATCTACCCTACTCAGAAAGTAGAATTCTAAAATAATTACAGTAATGTCTACTCTAATCACTTTATTTTTCCTTATATTACCTTTAAAAGCACAAGTTCATTACAGGGTCATGGGCAATTAATAAATCTGAACATTGTAGGGGGCATGGGTTCTTTCACCACTAGCTAAATGTCCACAAAAAATAGGCATGGCCAGAATGGAAAGGTAATCCCAGCAAGCCTGACCCCAAAGTAATCTCAGAAGAGAGTCCAACACGAAATCTCCAGGGGCTCTGAAACATCAATAGACCATCAATATTTAGAATCCAAAGTTCTCAAAATGATGCATAGTCTTAGGGCCTTTCATAGTATACTGTGGAATTTGTATACCCCAATCTAAAGCTTATTTTTTCACTTTGCCTATTCACTTTTAAATGTCTACAATTCCCAGTGAGGATCTGCTTCCCATGTCCCTTAATAACTCTCAAGGGCAGACAACCTGAATTCCAGGCCTTGATTTGCATTCAGTGGCTCCACACATGGGCCACACTCTACAGTCGCTCCAGCCTCAGTACAGCAGGGTTCAGTCATAGATGCTGCTGATCAAAAGGTGACAAATGTCTACAAAGATGTCTAACATCATTACAACTTCACCTTAATGTAGCTAAGATACTATCAGAATCCAACATTAACGAATTTATTTATCCTATTATAATTTATTTTAAGATGGTTCACAATTTTTCCTGAGCACTACCATAATGCAATAATAGAAAAATAATACAATATTGCCAGGCCATTATAAAATACATATTTGCAAGTTTAAAAATAAAATCATTACTATATAACCACTTCAGCAGTAGGTAATAACAAGTTTCTTTTTTTTTCTGGTTAATGGTTTGTTACCACTTCCAGGAAGACAGCATTTCCTCCCAATATTTTAGAGATGACACCTTGGCATCTGTGCAGGCGTGTAACTGGCTCAAATATAAGGATAAGCAGTTGGCCAAATTCCCCTGAGATTTACTCATTCTTTTCAAAACATGTCTGTGCTGAATACATGATCTGTACCTCACTCAGGAGCCAGTTCTGTCCTCTCACAATCCCAGGAGAACTCTTAGTCTTTGCAGAGATAACTAGGAAAACTCTATTTTTCTCAGTGATGTCAGAAATGTAATGAAGCATTAGATATGCCACAAAAACAGGCTTTCCTAAAAATCTGAAGTTTAAATTTAGTAACTATTAAGTCTATTGCCTGCTTTGACTATTGAGGTGATAAGTTAAAAATATTTATGGGACTCCACTATGAAACATGTCTTATCAAATCTGAAGAATCATATGAATATAGGTAAATGTTTAAATATCAACTCAGTATGTTGATATTGTTTGAATGTTTGAAATGTTTAAATATCATCTCAGTATGTTAAATATGTTTTTTAGTGCTTCCTTATTAATTTAAAGCAATGCAAAATACTATTGTTATTGATCTAGCATGAGCCAATACTTTTTATTCTAATATTATTTGATTACTAAATCTGGCCATAATATATGTTAATACAAATAATTAATATAATCAAAGGAAAAAAGGCACAAGCTAAATTCATTGTAGCTTCAAGGGTCTTGTCTGAATTTTGGAGGCATAGAATTCAGTAATTCCTCATTGAAGGTGGTATTGTGGTATGGCAAGATCACTTAGCTAGCAAAAACATAAATCTAAATTGTCACTCAATAAGATCCTGGACAAGTATCTTCACCTGTTTAATTTTTAGTTTAAAAATACAAAAAGAAAGAGTTACAGAAATTTTATGCTTTCCAACTGAAAGGTATTCTGCCTCAGAAATACTTAGCTATTCACAAATGTTTCTTTTTTTTCTTTTCTTTCATTTTTTTTCTTTTTTTTTTTTTTTTTTTTTTTTTTTTTTTTTTTTACTATTAAGGGGGGTACAAATGTTTTAGGCTATGTGGATCATTTTTGTAATGCTGGAGTCCTAGCATAGGTATGCCCATCACCGAGATAGTATTCATAGTATCCATTAGTTGGGTTATTCCCCTCCTTTCCTTCCTTCCTCCTGGTTGCCTTCCACTGAATTGTACTTTCCTCTGTGCATATATGAATTCGTTGGATAGTTCCAATTTAACAGCAAGGACATGTGGTGTTTGTTTTCCATTCTTGAGATGCCTGTCTTAGGAGAATGGTCTCCAGTTCCGTCCAGATTGTTGCAAAAGGTATTAATTCACTATATATGTGAGTGGTAGTCCATGGTATGCATATACCACATTTTATTAATCCACCTATGAATCGATGGGCACTCCCACATCTTTAGAATTGTGAATTGTGCACCAATAAACATTCGAGTGCAGATGTCTTTTTGGTAAAATTATTTGTTTTCCTTTGGATAAAAACCCAGTAGTGGAAATGTTGGACTGAATGGTAGGTGACTTTCAGTTCTTTGAGGAATCTCCATGCTGTTTTCTATAGAGGTTGTACTAATGTGCAGTCTCACTAACAGGAGTTATATGAGTTCCTTTCTCTCTGCATCCACACAGCATCTGTTGCTTTTGGACTTTTTAATAAATGCCATTTCTAACTGAGGTAAAGTAGTGTCTCATGGTTTTAATTTATATTTCACTGATGGTTAGTGATGTTGAACATTTTTTCATATGTTTATGTCTTTCTTCTTTTGAAAAGTTTCTGTTCATGTCTTTTGCCCCCTTTTTATGAAGTTGTTTGGTATTTTTCATGCTGATTAGCTTGAGTTTTTTGGTAAATATTGGTTTCTATGCTTTTTATGAAATGTGTCGCTTGCAAACATTGTATCTCATTCTGTAGATTGTCTGTTTTCTCTATTGATTGTTTCCTCCACTCTGCAGAAGCTTTTTAGTTTAATCAAATCTCATTTATTAATTTTCATTATTGCCATGATAGCCATTGAAATATTTTTCACAAATCCTTTCTCTAGGTTGGTATCTAGAAGATATTTTTCTTATATTTTCCTATAGCATTCTTAAGATTGCATGCCTTAGATTTAATTATTTTAACAAAGATCCATTTTGAATTGATTTTTGTGAGTGGTAAGAGGTAGAGGGTCCTGTTTTTATCTTCTGCCTGTGGCTATGCAATTTTTTCAGATCATTTATTGGATTTGGCTTCTTTTCCCTGGTATCTATTATTATCTGTTTTGTCAAAGTTCAGTAGGCTGTTGTGGATGATTTTTCACCTGGATTCACTGTCTGTTCCATTGGTCCACGTCTGTATGTTTGTGTCCATACCATGCTGTTTTGGTTACTATTGCCTTGTAGTATAGTTTGAAGGCTTGTAATGTTATGCCTCCAGATTGGTTCTTTTGGGTTAAGATTTCTTTGGCTCTTTAGGCTTTTATCAGGTTCCAAATGAATTATTTTTTTCTAGATTTGTGAGGTATGACGTTGGTAATCTGATGGAGATTGCATTGAATTTGTAAATTACTTTGTGTATCATGAACATTTTAGCATTGTTGATTCTACCGTCCATGAGCATGGTGTTTTTTTCCATCTGTATCCTGTGCAGTTTTTTTCCTCAGAGTTTCCTAGTTCTCCTTGGAGTGATCTTTTACTTCCATGGTTAAGTATTTTTCTAAGTATTTTATTTTCTTTGTTGCTCTTGTGAATGGCATTGAGTCTTTGATTTGACTCTTGGCTAAACTGTTATTAGTCTATAGAAATTCTATTGCCTTTTTTACATTGATTTTGTATCAATGACACTGGCTTCATAGAATGACTAGGGAAAGATTCTTTTTTTCTCAATATTATGAAATGGTTTCTGTATTATGGATACCACATGTTCTTTGTAGACCTGATAGACTTCAGCCATGAATTCGTCTG